TTCCCTACACGTCGCTCTTCCCCCCTTCCCCATTGTTTCTATAGAATCGATTTCCTGCTAGCCTCATCCCCCAGATTCTTTGATACTCCCCAAATTTTTTTGTTAACGAAACGATTTCCTGTTAAAGACTACCAATAAATTAAATATTGTTTGTATTCTCTGTTATTCTTTATTCTCTGTTATTCTTTATTCTCTGTTATTCTTTATTCTCTGTTATTCTTTATTCTCTGTTATTCTTTATTCTCTGTTATTCTTTATTCTCTGCTATTCTTTATTCTCTGTTATTCTTTATTCTCTGCTATTCTTTATTCTCTCTTATTCTTTATTCTCGGTTATTCTTTATTCTCTGCTATTCTTTATTCTCTGCTATTCTTTATTCTCTGCTATTCTTAATTCTATGTTATTCTTTATTCTCTGTTATTCTTTATTCTCTGTTATTCTTTATTCTCTGTTATTCTTTATTCTCTGTTATTCTTTATTCTCTGTTATTCTTTATTCTCTGCTATTCCTTATTCTCTGCTATTCTTTATTCTCGGTTATTCTTTATTCTCTGCTATTCTTTATTATCTGTTATTCTTTATTCTCTGCTATTCTTTATTATCTGTTATTCTTTATTCTCTGCTATTCCTTATTCTCTGCTATTCTTTATTCTCGGTTATTCTTTATTCTCTGCTATTCTTTATTATCTGTTATTCTTTATTCTCTGTTATTCATTATTCTCTGTTATTCTTTATTCTCTGCTATTCCTTATTCTCTGCTATTCTTTATTCTCGGTTATTCTTTATTCTCTGCTATTCTTTATTATCTGTTATTCTTTATTCTCTGCTATTCCTTATTCTCTGCTATTCTTTATTCTCGGTTATTCTTTATTCTCTGCTATTCTTTATTATCTGTTATTCTTTATTCTCTGTTATTCATTATTCTCTGAATTATCTGTTATTCTTTATTCTCTGCTATTCCTTATTCTCTGCTATTCTTTATTCTCGGTTATTCTTTATTCTCTGCTATTCTTTATTATCTGTTATTCTTTATTCTCTGTTATTCATTATTCTCTGCTATTCTTTATTCTCTGCTATTCTTTATTCTCTGCTATTCTTTATTCTCTTTTATTCTTTTTTCACTGTTATTCTTTATTCTCTGTTATTCTTTATTCTATGTTACTCTTTATTCTCTGATATTCTTTATTCTCTGCTGTTCTTTATTCTCTGTTATTCTTTATTCTCTGCTATTCTTTATTCTCTGTTATTCTTTATTCTCTGCTATTCTTTATTGTCTGTTATTCTTTATTCTCTGTTATTCTTTATTCTCTGTTATTCTTTATTCTCTGTTATTCTTTATTCTCTGTTTTTTTAAATGTTGTTTTGTTTCAGCTGTTGAATGCTTTTTAAATTGACTTATTTTCTGATTTTCCCCTGCACTCTTGTTTGATACGTCATTATATTTTCTAGGAGGTATATCCGAATACCAGAGGAGGCATGTACAAGTTTCACATGCAAAAAAATTATTTGAAGAGTGACGCAGTGGTCATACTTTTAGCCCCCAGAGAAGGAAGTAAATTCAAGAACATTTACGTCAAAAATATATTAAGAGCAATTTTTTTATTTAAAAAATGGCTCGTCAATTTCATGCATAGCCAAACATTAACATTACACTAGCTATGTTGACGTTAGTTCTTTTCTTCCCATGCCATTAAATTTTGTGTCGTTTTTCAAAAGTGGGTTANTCATACTTTTAGCCCCCAGAGAAGGAAGTAAATTCAAGAACATTTACGTCAAAAATATATTAAGAGCAATTTTTTTATTTAAAAAATGGCTCGTCAATTTCATGCATAGCCAAACATTAACATTACACTAGCTATGTTGACGTTAGTTCTTTTCTTCCCATGCCATTAAATTTTGTGTCGTTTTTCAAAAGTGGGTTACCGAACTTTGATTTCTATGACAGCATTTCAAATAGATTTGTATGGTTAATTTCGATAATATTTTCTATAATGAATACTGTTGTGTAAACATTAAAGTATTTTTTCAAAAAAAATGTTTTTTTCCCAAATGTATATCTTTGTAGAATCGGTCTGAACAACAGAACACTACGTACAATTCTACTTGATTGAATGTAATGCGTTTTCAGCGGTTTCGAGAAAAACACGTTTTGACTTCTCTTAAATATCTAGGTAGATATATCTTTCAAAACTTCATCCCTTCTTGAATCATTTTTTTATTCTGGAGAATTTTTGTATAAAAGAAATACTAAATTCTGGGATACTTTTATATTACACCAGGAAACGATGGTAATATCTTTAAATAAATAGTTGAACACTCCCTCACACATTATTATTTGTTGTCCTTTTTTTTTTAGTTGAAGAAAATGGGAAATTCCTTGAGTGTCCCAAAAACTGGTCACCCAACTGTCACACGTCTTAAGGTCATGAGGTCATCCAGTATGATCTCCCCCAATGTTACAACGTCCCTTTGGGAAAAAGTCCGGGGGAAGAGTTACCCAAATAATTCTAAAGTTACAACTTGAACTACGACAGCATACAGTTTTGTCAGTTAAAGAGGCGAAAACCCCCCCAAAAAACTACACCAACAAAAAGATTTTAGTTTTATGCACTCCAATTAATGTCAGAGGTTTATCCATTGCTTTGTGCATGAGACTTGCTTTATATCTGTATCTGTCTGCAGCTTTATTCAATACTTGATCTTGTTAACTAGGGGGGGGGGGGGCTGAAA